TTTTCTTTTGTTTGTTTTGTTTTGAGACAAGGTCTCACTATGCAGTTCAGGCTGGCCTCAAACTCACAATGATTTCCCTGCCTCAGTTTCCTGATTGCCAGGATTACAGTTGTGCACCAGCATGCCCAGAACAAATGAGCTTTTTTTTTTTTAAAGGACACGAAGTTGCAACAAGATAATAAGAGAATTATAAGACCTCAGACAGCAAGAAGGCAGGGAAATAAGTGGCCCAACTTTGCTCAGAAGATATGAGATGTGGTTACTAGGTGAGGGGGCTAAGTCTCTACTGAACTCAGCAGAAGAACACAGCTGCATATGAGGGACCTTCGCAGCTCTGGAAGGATCCAGAGGCCAAAGGCTAGGCCTATCACTGATGGGAGAGTCGAGTCTAAGGGGAACCCTTCCTGTATGATTGTAAGACCCTAAAAAGGCACTTCCTAAAAGCAAACCACCTCACTCCATTGCCAAGGGGGCTAGAGAATTGCTCTGGCGCTAAGCAGAATTAGGAGGGGGAATAGTTATCCGTGAGGGTTCGTAACCATGACCTGGTCCTTCATGGACTCCAGTCTGAACTCACATCACTGCAGTGATCCGCAGTGACAAGCAGGCATGCTGGTAGTTCTATTAAATGCTAGCAGAAACAAAAGCAAAGCTTCTCTGGAGAAAAATGCTCATCTCAGGCATTGGGGAATTCATGAGGATAAGTTGTCAGTGCAATGAGTGACACACAGTCAACGATGATCACACAGGCAAACATGAGTCGATGAAGAGAAAATTCTAAAGACTACCAAGAGACTGTTAGAATTGGAAAATAGTTTCATAAAGTTGCAGGGTGCAAAACTGACATACAAAAAAGTACCATTTTTATACACTAATAATGACCTTTTTGAGAAAGAAAGCAAGACTGATCCCATTCACAATAGTCTTATTGGCCCTGAGAGAAAAATCTCTCGGAAGTCACACGCACTGTCACTGTGTCTTTACCTATGGTTATCACCCAGGAGCATTTTTGTTCACCAGGGTATATACCAGCTTGTGATGATACCTGGGAGGGAGATTGCTAACGGCATCTGAGGTCAGGAATGAACTGCGTGTCCTATAAAATATAGCAAAGTCATCTAAAATGTCAGTAAGGCCAATGCTGAGAACCCCAGATCAGATATGCATGTGGAAAAGAGAAAAGGCAGAACGAAGTCTAGGTGGGAGATACAAACTTGCTGATCACCAGCAAATAGACGGTCTTCATGGCCTGCCAACTGGGGATGACCACCCGCAGTGCGAGCAGTTAGATGAAGAGGTCTAAATGCAGGGGGTACTCCAGGATGAGCAAAAACAGCTGAGAAGAAAAACCAAGAGTGAGGAATGGAAAGAGGAGTTAGACCAGGAGAGTGGGGAGGTAAGCGAGGTGGGCCAGAATGTTCAGGGCCCGGGGAGGTCATCGGTTTTAAAACCTGAGTATTATCCAGCTGCATGGGCGCAGCCACAGGGCAGGAAGTTAGACTGAACAAGGGTGCAAGTAAGCGATGAGTGGCCAGGGTCAAGGGGATGGACAATGTACATGGAGAGTGACCAGGGGAGTGACCACATGATAACTGGGGAACTTAAACTCTTTACGGACAGCAGGAGGTGAGGTGAGCAGTGAAAAGGCGGGAGAATCAACGGGTCATGGATAGGACAAACAAGAAAATCGTTGAGTAAGAGTGAGGCCAGAGAGCGGTTCGTATAGCTGAGATTTTACGTGGGCAAGATTATGGCTTTTAAGAAAAAGAAAAGAGAAAAGAAAAAGAAACCTGAGAAGTGACTGCCTAAGACAGAAGAGAGCTCCAGAGAGTGAGGAGCCAGGCTGTGGGAAAGTCTGACATCATAACAGGAGTGGTGGGGAGGAACTGAGCACCGGGAGCTGAAACCATCATGAAGTAGCCCTGGGGCCAGGGGAGGGCCGCCGGCCACCCTGGGGAAAAGTAGGCCACAGGACGTACGTGTGAAGAGAGACGGCCCCATTTCCTACCTATATCCTACAACCAAAATACAGGCCTTCTCTCATCAGAAAAAAGTAACTGTAAACATTGAGGGACCACCTCAAATCCTCTTTTGAAATACTCAGATACAGATGCATACACGCATGTGTAAATATCTAGACACATGTAAAGACATACACATACCCTCATAAGACTCAATGAAACAGAGTCTCCAACTGAATCAAATGCACCTGAAAAAAGGGCTAAAAAGAGTAAAAATTACTTTGTTTTTGTTTTGGTGCTGGAGATTAGACTGAGAAGCTCCAGCATGCTAAGTAAGTGCTGTACCACTGAGCTACATGCAAAGCCCCCAAATAGTAAAAGTTTTCTTAAAAATAAAAAGCAGCACTAATGAGGTATACAGTAAATATGCTACATAAGATTATGAAGCTGAGCTGGGCACGCCTGTAAGCCTGGCTACTTGAGAGGCTGTGGCCAGAGGGTCATAAGTTTGAGGCCAGCCTAGGCAATTTAGCAAAAACTCTTGTCTGAAAGTTAAAAAAAATAAAGGCTGGGGATATAACTCAGTGGTAGAGTGCTTGCCAAAGTAGGTGAAATTTTGGATTAAATCCTTTGTAGTGGGAAAAGAAAAAAAGGTGGCTAGGAGTGGTGGTGCATATCTGTCAGCCCAGCATTGGGAGGCCGAGGCAGGAGGATCGCTGTGGGCTGTAGCCTGGGCTACACAGGGAGCTGGAGGCCAACCTGAACTGCACAGCGAGACTCTGTCTATCTTATCTTAATAGACAATGCTAATGCGTACCTACCCAGAATTCAAAAGTCTCTGAGTTCTATGAAAACACCAGTTTTAAATTTTAGAGACAAGTAAACAATGATGTATCTAAATATCTTTTCCCTTTCACTTCCTGGTAAAACTGGAAGTTAGGGGAAGTGTTTCCAGAACTTATTCATTTGTGGGAGGCAGGCAGGAGAGAAGAAAAGACAAAGAAAGAAGAGAAAGAGAGAAAGAAAGAAAGAAAGAAAGAAAGAAAGAAAGAAAGAAAGAAAGAAAGATGGAAGGAAGAGAAAGAAGAAAGAAAAAGGAAACGGAAAGAAAGAAAAGAGGAAAATTACATTTTCAGGAGCTGGTCACTGTTCCTGGTTTTAGTTTTGCTGAATGCCAGCCTCTGTGTCACTCCTTCCCACGTGGCCCTTCACCTGCTCTTAGAGACTCACAAAGATTCAGGAAGAGGGAAGCAGGAGAGAGGGAAGGAATGGCAAAGAAAACTACAGACGGATCGCTTTACATTGAAGGTGCACAGGACAATTCACCCGGGCGAGGCTACCTGACACCAAGTCATAAAAGCCCAAATATAATTTAATGTTTGTATTCACCCACTGGAGCGGACAGGGAAAGATTTAGCCGAGGAACACTGACCGTTCTGTTCTGTCTCATGGCTGCAGCTTGTGCAGCAGCAGGAAGAGCCTCTGTGTGGGACACGCCTAGTGGGATGGGTTTCTTCCCATGTCGTAAGGACATTCTGAGAAAATCATCAATTTGAAACCATGCCACAGGGGGATATTAAGGCACAAAGAACTGAGATGAGCGCTCAAAGTCAGGAGGATCACAAGTTCAAGTCTGGGCAACCTTGTGACATTCTGTCTTCTGAAAATAAAAAGTTAAAAAGAGGTGGGGAGGTAGCTTGTGGTATAGTAGCCCTGAGTTTAATCTTTCAGTATCACATACACATGAATAAAGCAACTAAGAAAGCTGGGCATGGTGGTGCATGCCTGTGATCTCAGCTACCCAGAGAGCCGAGGCAGGAGGATAACAAGTTTGAGGCCAGCCTGGGCAACTGTCTGAAAAAATAAAAATTCTTAAAAGCTGGGGATGTAGCTCAGTGGTAAGAGCATTTTTCTAGCATATGCTGGGTTCCTAGCACTGCCAAAAAAAAGCCACCGAGAACCTAAGATAATACACATAGAAGACCATAGTAAACTTCAAGAACCACAAACTTCTAAGAACTCTGTATTAGTCAAGGACCAGTTAAATCCTCCTTAATCCAGGGAGCTTTCCAGCCTTTCAGTCCAGCCTGCACTGAGCTCTCCCTGGGCACTTCCTGCTGCAGGATTTATCTCAGCATTGAAAGGTTTTGTCTTAAACTGTGTTAAAAATTTCTGGGTTGTGAACACTTTCCCTCCACAGAGCCCAGTTCAGGGCTGTAAGCCTGGCTGTTTTCCATAGTATCAAGGCCATGAGTGAACTGGTGGATTTGAGAGTAGAATCTGAGTATTCTGTAACCACAGGTTCATTTCTAGTAGGAAAAAAAAAATTTATTTACATTTTTGGTGTTGGAATTGAACCAGGGCCTTATGCATGCTGCACACACTACCACAGAGTAAAGAAAAAAAATTTTTTCTAGACAACAAAAAAATTTCAAAGCTTCTTTGCGGTATACAGTTACAGTCACATTGTAATAAAGATACTCACCAGGGGGACAGGAGGACTTTTTGCTTAACAGAAGAAAATTCATCATATCAACTGTTTAAAGAGGCCATACAAAGCCCAATCACAGATAAAAGTGATCCTAGAAGCTCCCAATTAGGGAATCCTGCTAAGAGTTGCCTCAGAGGAGAAAAATTTCTCCCCAAGTACTCTCCTGAGATTAAGTAGACCTCACAGCCAAATGTGGTGGCACATACTCGTAATCCCACACTTGGGAGGCTGAGGCAGGAGGATCACCAGGAGTTTGAGGCCAGCCTGGACTAAATAGTGAGTTCAAGGCCAACCGAGGCTATACAGTGAGACCCTGTCTCAAAACACAAACAAATAAACAAAAAACAAAAAGCCCCAAACCTCCCAGGGATACATTTGCACATGAAGCAGCAGCCCTCTGTTTTGGTTTCTACAGGAATGAAGACATCCAGGAGGCTTCGCATTTCTCCCAGAGTACGAGGATATATGTACTCTGTGCACACAGAATCTTTTTCTCAGGAGCTTTTAGTAGCTTTCCCACAAAAAACAATCTGATGGGAACTATTTACCTTATCTTTGTAAACTAGGGTGCTGGGGCTTGGCCGGGGCTGGTCTTTGAAAGAGTACGTGGCCACTTGCTTGTTTAACAGGTCCAGGAGGCCAGGAGGTTTGTACAGTGGAAGATCATTGACGACTGGATTGTTTCTTTGCACAAGAGGTGGTTTTTTCCTTCCTTCATTTTTAAAACTGTAGGTCGCCACCACTGGATTTAATAGGGATTCTTCAATAAAAGTTTTCAAGTGGTAAGTGCCAGGTATAGGAGTAGTCTGTGGAAAATTGACATCCATTTCAGATCTATTCTTGGAAGGGTCATTCCCAAGTAGCATTTTTCTTTGCTTTCATGTTTCTCAAATTCTATCAAATATAATATAATAAAAACTCAGCAGAATATTTCAAGACAATTCATGATTATATCACTTCTGAAACAGTTGCTGCATTATCCCAAATGGGTGATGATTGAAGTTTAACTCATTAAAAAGGTCATTTCAGGGATATATTTATATTTGCAACTCATCTTTGACTATCCATGTCAGGCCTGTAAGGAGAACCCTCAAGACAGTTCTTGGCTAACTAAAAACTATCCTACTTCTGCTTAGCAGAGACTGTGTTTCTAACTAGCCCTCAGAGGGAACTTAAAGATAATAATGGGAGCCCGAGAATGAACTGGGAGAGACCTAAGGTCCACATAGTGCAGGAAGAGCTTTGGCCCCAACCACCGTGTGGCTGAAAGGCCAGATCTGTTGTGTCACTGCTATTCTGTGGCCACCTTTCCGCTGATCACTCAGTTCCACTATGAAAATTAGTTCAATTCCAAGAAGGCTCTAGATAGAAAATATGCAATATAGAAACTATCTCTTGACAGGGTGATCTAAGAAGGTCATTTTTCATATATTACCATCTTGTTTTATGCATTTTATATATCGATCATGACAGCACTCACGCAGCAGTGGGCATGCAGCACCTTCCCCATCGGCTCATGAGCCAAGTTGCCCCAGCACTGGATGACAGCCCGTGTGGAAGCAGTGTTGGCACTTTGCAGTAAATAAGTGGGTTTTGGGATGCAGTTTGGGCACTTGGTCTCTAAAAGGTTCTCCTTCAATGTTCTATGCTGTCTGCAAGAAAATCTGGAGCCAAATTCACCTTTCCAGAATGGATGGTTTTTCTTTCTTGTGCAATGTCACAAGAGCGTAAGATCACAGATTGACCTTACCTAATATTCTATAAAGCACCTGGATTCCTAGAGATGTTTTATTTTCTTAGCTTTCATTACATTCAAAATTTAAAGCTAATTTTTCATCCATATACTAATAGTAAAATGTGAGTATGAAATTGGGTCCACAGGCCAGGGATATAGCTCAGCAGTAGAAGTGCCTGCTGGCAAACAATGTCCTGAGTGTGATTCCTGGTAACGCCCAGAAAAAAACCAGTAGATCTGAACCACTAATTATAACTGTCTTAAAAGGTAAGACTGGTTAAGATCTTAATGGGAAAAAATAATTCAAACTGGAAAGACTGAAAATATACACACTGTTAATGTTGTTCTCCACCATTCTTCTCTTTCAAAAGACGAACTCTTCCTCGTTGGTTTCTATTAACAAACACAAAATATATTTGAGAGGCGATGCCTTAAAATTAAATTTATAATGAAGAAATTAATCTGTATTAAATTGATAAGCCATCATTAAAATGTATATAATGATAAACTTTGTCTATAATATTGCATGATCTTAAGTGCTTTTAAGTAGCTAAATATCTTTGGTGAGTGAGCATAACTATTCCCATCTCTGAGAGATGCTATAAGGCATTTAAATGTGTTCTCAGGGGAAAAAGAGCACAGCTTGACCTGTAGCTCCTTCACTTAGCAGCTAAACGTGCCAGACAAGTTCCTCGGCCCTGCAGCACCTGCCTCCCTCACTGGAGGACTTCCTGGGTTGGGCTGAAAAGGAGCTGCATACGCAGACCTGAATCCACAACCCATGCTCAGAAACAAACGGTAACTTTTAACACCTCCCCTGCCAAGCTAAGAAGCAGATTATTTTGGTTCTCCTGTTTCCGCAAAGCTCCTATCTTCCATAGTAAGCATTCTACACATTTTTATTATTTATTATTTCACACATGTATCATGCCCCACTGGCCACAGAACACTGTTAGTTGTTTTTGTTTTGTTCTTCCTTTTGTAAATTTCTAAGGAAAAAACATTAAACTACTGAGTTCTACTTTCATTTATAATGCTTTTATTAGTATGAAATATGGGTCACCTCAGGCAAGAATGCATTAAAAATAACCTGATCCATTAAAAAATCCTGACATAATTCATTCTTCCTGGCTTGTAACTGAAATCCACTTATGTATACAAATGGTGGGCTTTGGTTTTACTATGAAATGCATTTTCCTAAAACCATATGGCTTCATATACACTAAGTTTGAACTTCTCCCTCTAACATTCCTTTGCTAGATTTATGTTGAATCTTCTGCTGCACATTTTACAGTCACAGAAAGAAAACTTTCCCAGGCAGGTCAGGTCAGACCTCTCACCTCTTCCCAAGCGCAGGGAATGGAGTGGGAAGGAAACTGAGGCAAGTATGACAAATCCAGGGAAGGAAACTGCTGTTTGGTTTGGCCCAAAGTGGGTGATCTAAAATCCACCCATTCTACATGTTTAATTCACTTTAAGGAGAAGGATAAAAGATAGCTTAAATATCTTTCACCCAATTGACTTTAAGTAAAGACAATTTCAAAAATTTAAAACTACTAAAGCAGGAAGCAGGGCAAAACATGTGGAGGAGGGGGAAAGGGAAGACAGAACAGCCCCACTAAAGAGAAGCCCAGCAGATTAACAGTGGGAAGAAAGAGAATAGCAGAAAGCTAAGGATGAAGCGGGTGGTATGGGAGGCAGGAAGGGAAAGGAGATAAATGGCGGGAAAGATCACATGAAGTCAGGAATAAAGGATGTAGTGTGCTGCATACATGAGAGGAGGAAGAGAATAGTAGGAAGGGAATAGAAGGACTCAAATGCCTAGCCCAAGGGCAGGGGGAGGGCGGCAGGGCGGTGGCAAGCGATGGGCGATACCGAGGTGCGTCTCAGGTCTTCTCTTGATACTGTGTTGAAGGGATCGGCGATGAAGGGCTGGTCCATTATGGTTTGGACTCTCCCCGAGTGCAGCGGGTATCCAGTTGCTAAGAGACCCGGTTGCTAGGAGGCCCTGGCTTCCGAGATTGCACAGAGAACCTGCAGGTTCGCCTCCAGTGGCTCAGGGGCAGGAGGCAGGTACACAGCAGGGAAATCCCTCAAGAGCCATGCACATTATGTGATAAGAAAATCTACAGGGCTTCGTCAGAGCCTTCGGGTAAGTATCTGTGCCAAGGAGGCTTGTGGGGCTGGAGCAGACGCACAATCTCCATCAGCCCCTTATCATCCATAGTCCGGCAGCCTTGACGGCAGACATCCGTCCTTCAGAAGTGTGGTTTAGCAGTGCCTCTAAGCTTCTCCCAGCAGAAATCGGGCCACTTCTGAGTTGAAGAGTGAACATTAAAGACAACAGCTTTGACAAACTCTCTCCATCTCAGGATAGCCCTTCTTCACTTTGGGCCTCTCTTGATTGTAGCTTCAACTTTAAAATACTCTCTTCTTCAGAAATAAATCAGTTCCTCCACCTTAATCCGATTTGAGAGTACATGTGTTCTCTGCATTTTTTAGCACTGGGAATCAAACTCAGGACCTTGCACTTGGCAGGTAGGCGCTTATGCCATTGGGTCACATCCCCAGCCCCATCCCGTGTTCCTCAGATGTAACATCACAAGTCTGCAAAGCAGGCATTAGTCAAATTTTGAGAGGCTTCCTTCAACCGCTAAGTTGACACAGGATCAGACATAGTAGAGCCAAAATTTAAATCTCGATCAGTTTTAGCTTTCTTTCAGACTTTCAAAATGTGAGGTTAATTCTTTCAATTTTCAATGTCCAAACTCATCATTACCTAACAAACACATCTTTGTATTAAAACTGCACTCACAGTGATCCAACTGTCAAACCCACGGGGCACTTCCCACTCTTCCTAAAAGCGCACTTCTTTTTCACTGCTGCATTTACTGCCTTTCATTCTTGAGTGCTTTCTCCTTCAACCATCAAGATTTGAACCGTGTATTTTTTATCGTTTAGTCTAGACAGCTTGTCAATGAAGAAGGGAGGGACGTTAAAAGTGATACCTTCCCTCCTAGGGTTATGATTGAAATACTTGGAACCATGTAGTACAAAAGCAAATTCACAATTCAAGCCCTACCTCTTCTCTCCCTCACCAGGACTTCATGCTCGGCTCTAGGGTAACCCATCATGCCATCTTCGGACTTCTTGTTTTAACCTCCACTAATCCTGCTGCTGAGAGTCCTGACAAGGTGACAATTTTAAGTCAGGCCATAGTAGCTCAAGGTCTAGTCTCTACCATGTTCCAAAGACCCTTGCCTGTATCTACTGGAGGATTTATTTTGACGTTATAATAGTTTTGACAGGGTCTTGCTATGGCTCAGCTGTCCTTGAACTTACTACAGTATGTGCCTCAGGCATGCACACCTCATTTCTAGCTTTAAACATTCCCAAAGCATGATTTTAAACTGAGCCCTCAAAACAGAGTAGGGACTAAAATGTCTGATAAACCGTTGGCTTTTCCCCTCTATAAGCTAAACAAGCAAATAACTATAGCAAGTGTTCAAAACTGTGTACAAAACACCTGGTCATCTTAAAAAGCAGACCGACTCCAGGGCAGGGTCCAAGATGCTCCATTTTTGTGATACTTTCCTGGGGACTGAACCCAGTACCTCACACATACTAAGGAAGACATCTACCACTGAACTACTACCACCCCAGATTTTGTATTTTTAACAAGCTCTCATCATTCTCTGGGTGACCTTTTGAGGACCAAAGTTAGACAACTTCACCTAGCTTCTCTTTAAAATATGGAGATTCTAAACTCAATTTTTCAAAAAACTGCCAGGTACCAGGTTTGAAATGAGTTGAAACTAGGCAGCCAAGAGGGAAGTAAACACAAGTTCTCATAAATTTAACAGATCAAATCTATCTGTGCCTCATTTCATTTTCTTATTTTGGCTGAGCCTATAAAACTGGCTCAGCAGGCTAGGGACTGGGACCTTAGAGACCAAGAAAATGTATGAAAGGTACAGAGAAGTCCAGAAACCCATTCAAGGTGTGAAAATTGAAGAGAAGGAACATTTTGATGAAAAAATAGTTCCTAAGTCTCAAAAATAGAAACAGCATTGGGTCAATGATTTCAAGGACTTTACTAGTAAAACAGGTTAAACATGCAGGATAAATAAAATGCCTTCTTAAGAAAATACTGTCTTATCTGACAGGATCATTTTTGACCTCTCTTTGAGAAAGTCCAACAGTAACTTTGGTATGATTTTTCCCTTTCCTATTTTAGGGAAAATATATAGTATCTGAGGATAATCTTCAACAGGGACAGTTTATTGAACTATCCAAAAGCAAATATGCTGTGGACTATGTTACATTACAAATTAATAAGCACAACTCTGCTAGTATAAAAGATGGTTCGTGGAAAATGACATTTTAAAGCCCCCAGATACATTCATGTTGTAAAGAAATACAACCTAGCTCAGACCAACTGACTTTTCAATTTCCTATAAAATCAAAATGCCTACTTTGTGATTCTTGTAAAGATAATAGAAAACCACCAATTATCAATTCTTTTGACATGAGTCCAAAAAAAATGTGCTTCCTTTCTTACCACATCCTTGCCATTCCTATCTCGGTATTAATTTATATGAACCTCAAACACTTGAAGCTGAAAAAAACACCATTAATTGCCTACTACTCCCTTCAGTTTAGAGGGGTTGTAACTGATTTAACAACATGGTAACACTGGGCACTTCTTGCAAATGCCAAGGATGGTGTTATCTTGGCCTTATCTCAATGAACCCTGTAAGAAAAGCCTCATCTCTGGAAATAGTTGAGCACATTACAACCATTTTAGGAAGATAACTGAGGACTGAGTGACTTCCTTCATGGTCACAGAGGGCTGCAATAAGTTTCACACTCAGTCAGAACTCTTAAAACATCAACGGAGCGCCACAATAAAACAAATACCCAAACATTTCCTACTTATCACCTAATATACAGTAACATGTCCACAGGATTATCAATGCATGTGACTTTCCTTGTTCTGAGATGGAGCAGTAACCTGTCAAATAATATACACTGTCCTCTGGGAACCCCAAAACCTTACGGGTCACAGGGAGTGGGTAACTACTATATTCAATGTTTCCTTCATTATTTAAAAGATGGTTTTAAAAAAGCAAGGTCAAACCAAAACTGGTAACTACTTCTGAGCAGCCTAGGAGAAAGCAGTGACAGAAAGAAAAAAAAAATGAAGCAAGAACTTAAAAACAGGGCTTAATTACTACCAATCTATTCATAACACTTTTGTGTAACATGTAGGCAAAACTGAAAATTCTCTTTTGTGCTGATGAGTACAGAAGTACAGTGAGTGAAAACTTGGGAGAAATAAGAGGCAAAATAAAGGTGCCAAAAAATGCGGACTGTATTTTTTACACATAAAATTTATCATGCGACTCAAGTCGACATGGAAAAACACATAAGCAAGGTGAAAAATCTATTAAATGGCAGAAAACACTTAAACACCTACCTTTTGGTGACTATAGATGCATAGGTTTTTAAATCTTTCATTTAAACCTTTTTTTTTGTCTTTTTTTTTCATTTTTATCGGTACCAGGGATCGAACTCACGACCGCCTGCTTGCAAGGCAGGTGCTTATGTCGCTGAGCTAAATCCCCAGCCCCTCATTTAAACCTTTTAAATGAAGCTTCATCCTCATTCAAAAGCTAACTCTTCAATAGTAAAGAACAACCCACCTGGATTACATCAATGCAAGAAAAATTCTGTATTTTACCTTCAAACATTAAGACTGCCAACAGTTAAAAGACTCAGATTCAGAGCAACAATTGGGTAAATTGTAATTTTTTTTTATTGGAAAACAAATATACAACTTGGAATGGATTTGAGGCAAATTGTGCCATAAGCAGATTTTTTTTTTAAGTGGCTAAACAAAGTTTAAAAAGCAAGTAACAATAAAAGAAAATGTTCCTGGTATGAGACCAGCAGTACAAAAAAATAGTGTACGAGTACCTGGATAATACACCCGTTTTGCAATAGTGCAACTTTTAAGTACATATTGTTGACTGTCTGTAGTTCACGCAGAGTTACAACTCCACACTTCAACAACAACATGCTGACAATTTCTAAGAAAACTACTTTAAAAAGGCATAACCCAGATGTTCCCTCATTTGACCAACTCCATCTAAGTTTAGATGTGCAGAAGGGCTTAGATATATCCAGAGTAAGCCACATGCAACATGTTACTTGATCAATTTTCTAAAATAAGGTTTCAGGACAATGACAGTAAGATAAAGAGAAGAAAACATGGAGGAATGAAGTCCTAATTACTATACATGCATATTTTTTTGACAGTAGGGGGAAACCTTTTACAGATAAGTTACAAACAAAGAAAAGGCAAATAAACAATTTTGTACAAGAAATTTAACACATTCTGTACAATGTCTTCACTTTGCTGTCATCATTTGTACAAACTCTGAAAAAGAAACAAAAAATGTAGTTAATAGCACAAGTTGAATAAATAAATTACATTTAATTCATTATACAATCTATATACCTTTTCATTTAGAATTACTATAAAGTATAGAAGAAAGTTCATTTACTGTTAAGGTGGGAAATTCATAAACTGCAATTATTCAGGATTAATAATGCATAATTCAAATTAATGTTCTGGATAAGCCATAATAAAAAAGCAGCATTCATGGTTCTTAGTTTACACTTACATTTTAAGATTGCTAGGTTACTTCTCATATTGTGACTTCAGTATAATAGACTGTGGCTGTGCATGCCTGCAACCCCAGCACTCGGGAGGCAGAGGCAGGAGGATCACCGTTGAATTTGAGGCCAGCCTACAGTACATACTCTGAACTACATAGTGAGATACTGCCTCAAAAAAACGACATTTAATTTTTAGGGTATTAAATTTTATGCTGTTTTCTAAAATTGAGTAGTTACATCAAAAATACAAGTGAAAACAAAGTAGGCAAAGCTTTCCCTAGAAATCCTTTCAGCTTCTGAAGTCCTTATATTCTATAAGTCATTTCCAAAGTTTATAGTCATACATGATACATAGATTTTAAGCATGTGTAACGAGTTTCGGACAAAGCAATCACAGGAAAGAGAATCCAGTGTAGGTAAGACAGACAGTCTCTTCATTTGAGGAAATTCATGGACTATTCTACAGGCACATTCTGTAAAACACATTCTCTCACTTCGAGAAGGAAAGAGCTCTTAAATTTTGACCTAGGATATCTAAAACAAGTACTTTTAACTTAAAAACACCTGAGGAAGTGGAAGACCTACCTTCATAGTTTACTTGACCATCACCATCAATATCTGCTTCCCTGATCATTTCATCAACCTCTTCATCTGTTAACTTTTCTCCAAGGTTTGTCATCACATGGCGAAGCTCTGCAGCACTAATATAACCATTGCCATCCTATAAAAAAGTTCAGTATGTCTAAAATTAAGAGTTGAAATCAACATTTAAGAAACTTAATTAAATCTCCATTTGGGAGAAATACAAACTCCAGCAACTCTATAAACAGTTATCTATAATGTAAATGTCAAAGCACGATGTCTTTATTTCCTAGATCCAAATTCACATGATACCTCTTCATTGGAAGATTATTGCAATATATGTTATTAGGAAGTCTAAGTTCATGCTGAATTCTTAAAACTTCTGTATAGGGGCTAAGGATGCAGTTCAGTGGTATAGCTCTTGCCTTGCAGGTGTAAGGCTCAGGGTTTGAGTCTCCAGCACCACAAAAGACAAGCAAAAAACAAACAAATTTACATTTAAACTATGTCATAACTTATGAGAGGCACAAGTCTCAAAAAGTAGAGGGCCTTGACAGGTTCCCTTTATCCTCAAAATTCCAACACATCCAGTCCTTTAATACCTACCTTATCAAATACACGGAATGCTTCTCTAATTTCTTCCTCACTGTCTGTGTCTTTCATTTTTCTTGCCATCATTGTCAGAAACTCAGGAAAGTCAATTGTACCATTACCTGAAATCATTTCATTGAAATATCAAGTAGAGTGTAAAAACCTCTGCTTCAAACCATCCCACTCTCTGAAACTGAAGACTTACCATCAGCATCTACTTCATTAATCATGTCCTGTAACTCTGCTTCTGTAGGGTTCTGCCCAAGAGACCTCATTACAGTTCCCAATTCCTTTGTTGTTATAGTTCCATCACCGTCCTTGTCAAACAGTGAAAAAGCTTCTTTGAATTCTGTTTGAAAGATCACAATCCAAATATATACATTAACAATAAAAAAAATTTCCAGATAATATGTACATTATAACCGACTCCTAAGAAAACAAGGCATTTACTGGACTTAATTTATTAGAAATCAAAATTTCAGTTAAGTGGAAATTCCCTCACTCAGTTAAGTGGAAAATCTCGTGAAAATCTCAAACATATCTGATCCAATCATACTAGTCTATGTTCTAAGCTACCAGCAAATTTTACACATATAATCTCACAAGAGAAATTCACATCTAGTTCAGATAAAAGTAGAATTATTCTAGGCTGAAAGAGGAAATGCCTCAAATCCACTAAAATGACTAGCTTCTCTATTTTGCACTGAAGCTACTCTGTGCAGTGTATTTCAAAATTATGGATCTTACCTCACAGCAGAAAAATGACTTGATGCTATATACTTTTATAGAGTAATTTTACTATTCACATTATGCTTAATATTAACCTCAAGGGGTACACCTGTCTAAAAACCCAATACTGTCTCATCGGCTGAGCATGCTAAATTCATCAGGACCACCTAGTTGTTCACAATCCATCAAGTACATTTCACTATGTTGGCCAAGTGGCAAAGAAACTAAAGTAGGCTTTGTAACTTGGCTTTCTGTGTTAAACATCTCAGCTGTGCCACTTAACAATGTAAACATAGCAGGACTTTCCTGCCCTCAATTTTGATTAAGTGATTGTAAACTATGTATTTACTTCCCAAACGTAAGGATACATGTAGTGGGGCAAGGTAGCAGATGCCTGTAAATTCCAGCTACTTGGGAGGCTGAGGCAAAGGCATTACTGAAACCCTGCCTCAAAAGCAAAATTTCTAAGTCTGAATACAACGGACAGGGATTTGGCTCAGTAGCTCAAGCACCTGTTTGGTAAGTGCAAGATCATGGTGGGTTCTATCCTTGGTACTTCCTCCCCGCAAAATCAAAGTCTGAATACAAAATTCCATACTCAGCAACCCTAAGAACACAATCAAAATCCAAAGCCCAAATCTGTGGACAAGTTCTGTTGAGCCCTACCCAAATACTCCCTGCAAGCTAAGAATGGTGGCCTATACTTGTAACCCCAGCATTCAGCAAGATGAGGAAGATCAAGTTTGAGCTCAACCTGAATAACTTAGCAAGACCTTGTCTAAAAAGGGGTGGGGGTGGGGTCGGGAGGATAGATCAGAGAGAAGGCCCATAGTTGACTGCCCAAGTTCAAGGCTGGCCCAGGCAATTTAGTTAGAATATGTCTCAAAAAACAGACCAGGATAGGGGTGGGGGATGTAGCTCAGTGCTAACATGGGTTCAACCCCCAGGACCCCAAGGAGTAAAAAATTAATACTGTTGGATTATTTTTTCATCTCCACAACCAGTATTTTGGTTCAAGGGACAATTATTTTTTGTCTGGACTACAATTACTCCTAGCTTGGTTCTTTAGAACTACTCACCCCTTAAGTCTTACCACCTTTTTCAGATCACCATGTTACTCTCTTCTGTGTAAAATATTTTAATCACTTAGCTTTATTTAGATTATGTATTTACACTAGTCTGTAGTACCTAACTTGCTGCATTCAATATATGTAACACAGTTCCACTCCATTTAAGGATTACTTACTTCAAAAGAAATAATCTGTATCACTCAGAAGCTTAGTATGAAAATATCTCATTTTACAAAATATATAGGGCAACCTAGATAAAACTAATATTAAAAGCAGATCAGCAAGTTCCTCCCTACAAACAGCAGGATTTGAGGGAGACATTTTTATTTTACTAAGTATTTTTGACAAGATGTACAAATTGTTTAGTACACACAGCACCTACCATCTAGTAACTTGGGTAACAAAATTTTTTGGGACACATGTTTACTTACATTTTCTGCTACCGGACCTTGCTGTTATACCCCATTAGATACATAAATTCCTACTAGTTAAAAGGAGTAATATTCTATGATGATTTAACTACAAGCTCAATTCTAGAAGATGTGTGGTGTCAGTATATGTATATATGTTCTAAATTTCATTAAGTTTTAAAATCTAAAAAGCCAAAAATAAAACATTATCCACTCTATAACCTAGCATTTACTTTACACATAAAAAAGAATGCTTAAAGGTCAAATTTATTTCAAATTTCAACTTGTACCTTATACTGAATATTCAAATACCTATAAAAAATGCTTGAAGAATCTCACAGCACAATTTACATTCACCTGCCTTTCAGGACTAGAATATAATTCTAAACATCAATTCTTAGAAATGACCTGAAATATAAATCCAAAAGTTAAAATGTAAACACAGCAAAGATAGCAGGTCCTAAATGTCACACAGCTATCCCATTTTTTTATGTGCACAGGACACCCCCCAAAAATCAAATTATGCTGAAATTGAAATGTTTAAAGTCACATATATTTGAGTTTTATTTAT